ACAAATTGGACTTAATTAAATTAAAAAGCTTCTGCACAGCAAAAGAAATAACCAACAGAGTGAACACACAACTCACAGAATGGGAGAAAATATGTGCAAACTATTCATCCAAAAGGAGATTAATATCCAGAATACACAGGAACTCAAACATCTCAACACAAAACCCCCGAAATAATCTCATTAAAAAGTGGGCAAAGGACATGAATAGACATTTTTCAAAAAAAAAAAAAACAAAAAAAACATACAAATGGCCAACAAATGTATGCAAAAATGCTCAACATCACTAATCAGAGAAATGCAAATTAAGACCACAGTAATGCAAGAAATGCATATCTAACTCTAGTCAGAATGGCTGTTACTGAAAAGATAAAATATAACAGATGTTGGTGAGGATGCAGAGAAAAGGGAATGCTTATATACTGTTGGTGGAATGTAATTTAGTAAAAATCTATGGAAAATAGTATAGATATTTCTCAAAGAACTAAAAATAGAACTACAATTCAATACAGCAATCTCACTATTGGATATCTACCCAAAGGAAAGGAAATCAACCTATCAAGAAGATAGACACACCGGTATATTTATAACAGCACTAATCACAATAGCAGAGATAAAGAATTAACCTAAGTGTCCATCAATGGATGACTGGATAAAGAAAATGTGGTATATATGCACAATGGAATAGAATAATACTGTGCAGCCATAAAAAAATGAAATCATGTCATTTGGAGCAACACGGATGGCACTGGAGGTCATTATCTTAAGGGAAACAAGCCAGACACAGAAAGACAAATATCACATGTCCTCAGTAGTAAATGGATGCTAAAAAAGGTGTACACATGGACACAGGGAGTGGAATGGCAGACCATGTAAGACTGGGAAGGTTGAAGGATGTGGGAAGTGGATGAGTGTTGAGAAATTATTTAATGGGTGGGTACAATGTACATTATTTAGGTGATGGATGCCCTAAAAGCCCTAACTTGATCACTACACATGTAACAAAATTGCACTTTACTTCATAAGCTTATATAAATTTTAAAAAGTCTGTAATCTACCCTCACATTTGATTCACAATTTGGCAGGAACAGAATTTTGAGTTGAAAATACTTTTTTTCCTCTCACAAATTTGAAGACATTGTATCATTTTTTGGTAGCATTCAGTGTTGTTAAGTCAGAAGTCATTCTGATATTTATTCATTTGCAGATAACCTATTTTTCCTTTCTTAGAACTTTTAGGTTCTTTTGGTGTTGATGTTCTGAAATTTCACATGATAGTCCTAGGTTGGGTCTTTTTAATTCGTCTTGCTATAATCTTTTCACTTTAAAGAACATGTTCTCCTTTAAGCTCTGGACATTTTATGTAATATTCTCTGATGTCTTTGATAACGACTCCGATAAGTTTCTTCCTCCCTGTGTTCAGTTTTCTCTTTAGTGCACAAGTGTTATTTGGATGTTGGAATTTTGGACCCAATCTCCCAAAGAGCTTGCCTTTTCTTATATTTTCTTTTTTATTTTATGTGCTTTTTAGGATACTTCTTAAATTCTTTCTTCTAATTCTTTGACAGTTATATTTTGACAATTATATATTTTAAGAGAATTTCAAGCTCTCTTTACTGATCTCTGAATACTCCTTCCTTTACAGATTATATTATTCTATACATATCTTACACTTCTCTGAGAATTCTAATTAGATTTTATTAAATACAGTACATTTCATAAATTTGCATGTCATCCTTGTGCAGGGGCCATGCTAATCTTCTCTGTATCATTTCAATTTTAGTATATGTGCTGCTGAAGTGAGCACCTAATTAGAATACTGAAAACATTGTTTGAAGGCAAGACTGTTGGGACTGTGGATTCTGGCTCTTCCTTGAAGAGAGATGGATGCAGGGCCAGAAAGAGCAAGGGCCCTGGGGGCTCATTCCTCTAAGGGGACCGTCAGTTTGATTATATTGGTCTTTCATTTCTTGCTGTTTGTATTTTTTTGCTGTTGGAGAATCACGTTTGCCTGTCTCTAATTACTAACAAGGTTGGAGTAGAGACAGCCAATGGCCAACCTTGCAATGGGATGAGGGGAACCAGTTTTCAAACTAACCACTGGCACCTTTGAGGGGTGATATACTCTGGGAATCAGGACCGCCCTTGCATCCTGATTTTGCACAACTGTGGACATTGTGCTTATTGCTTTTCACTTCTGTTTCCCTTCAAGAGAGAAGATATAACACATTGCTCTACTATGTTTACATGAGAATGTCAATTAGCACTTGAACTTTGCTAATTGCTTTGCTCACCAAGCAAACAACCCAAACTGTCCAAATTACCAGTTTGGATGAGGGGCTGCAGCAAACAAGGGGACTCCTTTGTTTCCCTAATACTCTTGCCTGTTAGCTCATTTGGTGACTGTGTCAACACGTCTTTTAACTTTGCTTGCAGTGTCATTTATTGTACAAAAGATTTAAATTTTGATACAAACTATTTTCTTATGGATTTTGCTTTGTTACTTAATCCTGCTTTAAAAGGCCTCCCCATTCTTATTTTTTTCCTATAACTTTAATTTTTTTTGTTTAGATCCTATACACAGATGACATTTTTGTGCATGGTATAATAAAGGAACATGATTTTATTCCATTTGGATAGCTAATACTTCCAGTATCACTTACTGAAGCATTAGTTTCCCCCTGATTTGAACTGTCATCTACAGTGTACCCAATTTCCAGATATACATGGCTTCCTTTCTTGCTCCTCTGTCTATTCATGTACCAACACCACTTTGTTCCCATGACTAACATTTAATCTTTTTTTTTTACTTCATATTATGGGGGTACAGATATTGTTAGGGTTACATATCTTGCCCGGCCCCCCGCCCCCACCCTGCTATGCCAGACATTTAATCTTGTCTTGATAACTTACAGGGCAGTTTCTGCAAGATTTTCAAGGTTATTCTTGTACCTGATTGCTTCATATACATTTTAGAATAATTCTTCCACATTCCATTTAAAGGATTAGCAATTTTATTGGCATTGCTTTACCTCTTTAAAAGAGTAACTCTTCTATCCATGAACATAGAATATCTCTTTATTCTTTATTCCTTTAGAAAAGGAAGTTTTGCTATCAAGTTTTTTTTTTTAACAAAAGGTTACTCCTGGATATAGTTTCTGCTTTTATTGTCAAAGGAGTACTTTCTTTCTCCGTAGTTTCTAATTGTTGGTACGTTGACTTTAATATGCAGAAAACCTATCCAACTAATTATGCTGAATTTTGCTTACTAATTCTGATTTCTTTAGGTTTCTGAAACAGATAGTACTGTTTGGAAATTATGATAAATATACCTCCTCCTTTCTCATCTTTTTGAAACTCAATTGTGTTAAAAAAAAAAAAAAAAAGAAGTACTACATGTATTAGCACCTCTGGGGCAATACTTAATCACGGTGGTGATCATTTTCACCCTTTCCTTGTTTCTAACTTGAGTTAATGGAACAATGTGAGAAAGGCTCACACAGATTTGCATGCTTCTGCAGGATCCTGTGAAGCTCCTGCAGGCCTGCTCGGGTCCTCACACTCCCCTAGTTGCAGCAGTGGCATTCCCACTGAATGCCACAGAGCAGCCTTCAGGACTTGGATTTGACTTGAAAGCATAGCATACTTTCCAAGTGTTCTCCCCGGCCAGGCACCATACTTCCGAAGTCCATGTTGTCCTGGAATATCCATCTGTCAGACTCAGCACACACCTTCAGCAAAATTAACCAGATGTTACAGAGCTTCCTGTGTTCCTATCAAGACCTCCTTTACCAAGCTGCCATACACCCCCAAGCAGGGACCCCTAAAGCGCACATGTTCTCCAGCAGAACCACCAAACCAGACATGACACCACCACCCTTGATGTCAAAGCCAACCCACCAGTTTCTCAAGGAGGGTGGGACTAGATCTGATTATTACCCTTCCCTGAGAACTCATGGAAACTGGTTGGGATCTTGTCCTCAGATCCCTGGAAACTTAACACCTCCCTAATCTGATCCCAATCTCTTGCCAATACTGCAAACCCTTCCACTATCTTCAGCAAAAACCTCTGTATTCTCAACTTATCCAATTTTCCCTCATTTTCTGTGTATTTATGTCAGCTAATTTCTCTTTGTCCCTTCCATTCCCCTACTACTACCCTAGGTATGCTGACCACTTAGGGCATGAGTTCAGAACATGCAAAACTGTGGAATAGAAAAGGAATGGACCCTGCCCCTGACAGTTCAAGAGGTAATGAAGACTTTGGGCAATGACTACATGTGGTTTGACCTACACTGGCTATAGTTGCTAGGTTAGGTAAAAATTATGTTAAAGAGCAAATATAAGAAATAGGGCATATTAGGTAATATTATAAGTAGCCAAAGTAGTAGACTATAGTAAACAGCTTTTTATCCTTATTTTCTATGTTTCTTTGTTTTTTTTGAGACAGTCTTGCTCTGTTGCCCGGGCTAGAGTGCTGTGGTGTCAGCCTAGCTCACAGCAACCTCTAACTCCTGAGCTTAAGTGATCCTCCTGCCTCAGCCTCCCAAGTAGCTGGGACTACAGGCATGCGCCACCATGCCCGGCTAATTTTTTCTATATATTTTTAGTTGTCCAGTTAATTTCTTTCTATTTTTAGTAGAGACAGGGTCTCCCTCTTGCTCAGGCTAGTCTCAAACTACTGAGCTCAAATGATCTTCCTGCTTCAGCCTCCCAGAGTGATAGGATTACAGGCGTGAGCTACCACACCCAGCCTATATTTTCTATTTTTGAGAAATTCTTCCTATTTTTGAAGAATTTTCCACCGTGTGAGTCTGGGTTGGGGCACTTCCTACTGAAGATGAAGGCGCCAGACTCTCCCTCTCTCCCACCCTGGCCTTGGTGATGTGAGCATGTGACCTAGCTACAGCAAATCACACGTGCACACACAGAAAAATGCACACGTGTGCACACGCAGCATGCACATACACACGTGGCACTCTCAATCTCGCTGCCTTCCTCAGGAGCAGCTGGGAAGTGTTTCAGATGGTGGCCGCGATGCCTGTTGGGTGACACTGATGGCAGTACAACAGCAGCAAACAGCAGAGCCACAGGGAAATGGTGGTGATGACCCACCAGCACGAGGACCATCCACGCCAGACCTGCTAGAGCAGGCCATGCTAGACTCATGCTGCCCGGCTGCCCTTGGTCCCACCTTGCTTTCCCAGCCTTCCCACTGACTGCGTGGGTGAATCCACATCCTTTCAATAAATTCCTTTCTGGGTCTCTTAGTCAGTGTCAGCTCCTGTTGCCTACAATCAGGAACTCTGAATGATGTGCCCAGCAACCTACCAGGGATTCCACGGTGACCAACACCAGGGGGCGCCACTGTTACAAAATAAAAAATGGCAGCCCTACAGTTACGCGGAACAGTGCCACACAATTCATCTATGTGACAGCAAGAACTATGTATTAGTGTGTGTCTATAGTATAGAATACAGAATAGGAAGATAAAAAATATTTACTTAATTACATATTTGGACAACAAAAACAATTATTTTATAATCCTAGTACTTTAAGCACGGGCTTCCTAGTCCTTTACATGTGTATTTAACTCCTTTTGGCCACTTACTACCCCAATCATCTCGGGCAGGTTGCTTAGCAGCTCAGCAATGGGGTTAATAATGGGTTAATTACTCTCCTGCATTTCATTTTCCTTGTCTGAAAAACAGGGACAATAACAGCTACTTCACTGACTTGTGAGGATGTAAAAGTCAAGTCACATAGCACAGGGTCTGGCACACAGTGGGCATCTGAGAATTACTAATTCCTTCCCCAGCGTCGATAACATGATCAATCTAGTCTTTGCACGTGTGCAAGCTCTTCACCAAAGTGAGACCATCTTCAATCGGTGCCATCATTCCAGCTGTGCTGCACCCTGAAGCAGTATGACCTTAGGAGGCCTGTTCCAGAGCTTCGGGCTTCCACACCTACAATGCTCATGCTGTCACTTTCCACATGGGTAAATCCACTGCAAAGAGAAGGGGCATGCTGGATGTCAGTGAGAGAAAAGCACAGACATTTCAGTAGTAAAAGCCTTTACATGGAGAGGGAGCTCGGCTTCCTGTGCCTTCTCCCACCAGCCCACCTAGCTGGCCCCATTTCCACCTCTTGTTTACTCTGCACTTTGATTTGAGAACCTAAATTCATTTGTAATAACTGGCAAATATTATCACTCTTAAGTGGGAATATCGAATCTGGGCCCTCCTGACAGCAGCTGCCTGAGTCATAATGATTCCAGCTGATCTAGAAACTTCTCCTTTATAGGAGCCTTGATGGGTTTTGAAAAAAAACAGAGGAAAAAAAAAAAAAACTTCTAACAGAGGAGAAGGGGCACCTAACCTAATCTGGGCAAGTCTGAGACATTGTCTAACACACACAGGGTTAGAATTAACCTTCAATTGCTGATCAGTCTCATTGCTCTCTTGAATGAGAGAGAGAGAAACACAAGAGCTAATGGGCGCAGCCATTTTCCATGAGGTCAGAATCAGGTTCCAACCCAGGCTTTGTTGTGTATTACCTGGGACTTCGGGCTACATGTCCACATTTCTAAGCCTCTGTTTCATCTGTAAAATGTACGGGATGTCCACTGCATGTGGTGGCTTTGTACACTATGGGAGATAATGTCTATAATGCACAGCTGAAGCTAGCAATCCGGCTTTTTAACACAAGAGGAAATAGAATCTGAGCTCTGGCTTGTCTCAGGTCCCAGCTAACAAAGGGCAGGCGGGGCTTACAGCTCCAAGTCCTGTCAACACACTTTCCAACACTTCCTTAAGAAACACTGCTTGGCAGGCCACACACGGCCATTTTACAGGCAACGTGAAGGGAAACAGAGCCAATTACCTGGCCCATCTGTGGGATCCCCCAAGCAAGTGATAGCAGCTCTTGAGGATGGGAAATTCATTTTCTTTATTCCACACGTAGACTCGCAAAGAGAGGTCAAAGGAAGAGGTGATGACTCGGCTCGGGTCCTTGAAATGAAAAGTCAGATGAGGTGTGGATGTGGACTCCTTAAGGCGGAGAGCTGTGACGTGGGCAGCGGGCATCGTACTCACCACCCACAGGGCCGTGATGGGCCTCTGGTGGTCCTGGAAGGCTGCCAGCTGCAGGCCGTGCATGGTGAACAGCACCAGCTTTGACTCTGAGCCCAGCAGGATCACCTGAGAGCCATGGCCCTTCACGAGGTGAGGAGGCATCATGGTGTCTGGCAAGAGGAAACTGGCGATCTGTTGTACTTTTTGAATAAAAACACACAGGTTTGCTTCTCTGGAATAGACATATGCCTCTCATAAGATGATGCGGTTCACTGCAAAGAGCAGACAGCTTTGCAGTCAGACCTGCTTTCAGTCCTGACCCAAGCGTTTACTCCCCTCAGTCTCCAGTTCCTCAGCTCTAACATACTGATGACGACGCCACGCTTACCAGGGCGTTGCAAAGATGCGATGCAATACGCTCATGCAGTGCCTGGCACGTAGTACCACCCAGGGAATGGGGCTCCCTCCCTTCTACCCTTTTTCATCCACGGCAGGGTGATATAAAAAATGCCACATGAGAACTATGATATTTATGACATCTGCCAAAAACTATTGTTGAAGATACTGTCCTTTATGCTACATAGCATTCCTTTTTTAACCAGGAAAAATAATACCTCTCATGAAGAATTCATGCATTTTCTCACATCAGACAAGGCGTTATATTATATATCCTGTTTTCCCTTTTTTCCCTACCTGCTAGGAAGCTCAGAGGAAAATTGATGGTCAAATAATGATGTGAAAACAAACAAACATAATACAAAAAAAAATGCTAAGGACCATCAAGAAGGCCTGTCAGAGTGACGTGGGTTTGGGAACTGGAGGAGGAGATATAGCCGGAGAGGGCTGTGGGTCTTACTTTCCTACTGGACTAGGAGCTCCTTGGGGATGAGAAAGCTATGGCTTTTATTCATCTTTGTATGTGGTTAATACTGGGAACAGGGCCCCTGACGTAGTCAGAAGAGAGGCAGGAATGAAGCAGGAAGACCAGCAGGGGAGCAGAGACAGGAGGGGATCAGTATTGAATGTCTGATCCCAGGGGCACACTGAGGGCCCGACACCTAGCAAGTGCTCACTCACTCAACCAATATGTAAAATGACAAACAGCAAACACTATGTGTCCCAACAAAGGTTTTGCTGTTTGTCATTTTACATATTGGTTGAGAGGACCATATATTTCATGAATATATGAGAGGACCATATATTTCACTGAGAGAAAAGAAAAAGTGTCCCCAAGGAAAGATAAGAAACCTAAGCTGGAATCACCATACTGCAATGGTGGTGACACGCAGACCTGCCGGTGGCAGCAAGGGGACCCTTACCCAGAATGTTCACTCTCTCCCTGGACTTCTTGGCTTCTAACTCATAGGTAGTGACAACCAGCTGCGTGCCACTGTCATTTTTGTGCATCACAATCAGCCTGGCTGCCTCTCCGGGGGCCCAGCAGCTTCTGGAAGTCAGCCAGATGGGGAGGGTAGTGGAGACAGGAGGCTTGTCTTCCGATGGGTGCAGCAAGGACTGAGTGTAGAACACCTGGGGAAACACCTGTGCACAGTCACACTGCAGGCGAGGAAGGGGCTTCTCAGACCCGGGAGCCCTCAGAAACACTGCCTATCTCTGCCCCCTTGGGGCCTGGCTGGGGAAGCTGGCTCTGCCCCCACCCCCACCCCCGTTCTGTGGGGCCTTACAGGGTGACCTGTGCCACTTTTGGATCCTCTTTTCCAGACTACACACAGACCTGGGGCTTTTCGAGGGTGATCCCAGCCCACATCTGACCCCTCTGGAAACATCCTGGCACTGTGATGGAGGAATCAAATAAACGGTGCTTCTGTTTTTGAACAGCTGTCGCCACGGTTTTCCTGTTGCCTCCATTGTCTTCTGGTGCATTCCTTTCCTATCTCTTTAAGCCTCCTCTAGAACCCTCGGCCCACATTTTCAGAGCGTCCTGGAGGCCCCTCCTGTGGCCTCTCTGCACCCAGCTGCTCTTCTCTGCCTGCCTGCCTGCCTGGCTACCAGGTGCTGGGGCTCCCGGTCCCTTCCTGTACTGTGACACACTCTCTCTCTCTCTCTTTCTCTCTCTGCATCACCAGTGGTCTGCCGTTTACTTGGCTCTAATTTCCTGATTCAGACCCTGGCACTCCAAAGGGGCCTCATCTGCAGCAAATGACTGGACGTCTCTGTGCCTGCCAATCGTCCGCTCTCCATGACCCGGTGTCAGAGGACGGGGCTGGGCGCGCACTCACACGACTGCGACACAGGAGGCGCTGCGAAGCCCCTGCCTTCCTGCTCGGGCACCAGAGGCTCCTGTGCGCCTGCCCTGATGACCTTCACTCTCACGCTCTCGCTGAATCTCTGTCCTCGGGTCACCAAGTGGCTCCTGAACGCTTCCTCCAGGATGTCCCCAAGGCCCCAAACCTGTTCAGAGCTGAGGACAGGGCCCTGGCCCCTTCCAGCTCACAGGTCGCGGCAGCCTGGGAAGAGCAGAGGCTCCGGGGGCAGGATCCCTGAGGACCAGTGCCAGCGCTGCCACCGACTCAGCAGCAGCCGGTGCCAGAAGTTTTTGCTGGGAGCAGACCCCCACGAGGAGCAGCACGTGGCTGTCAATGAGCAACTCCGGACCAGGCCTGCCCTGCCCGCCCGCCCGGGGCTCGGTGCTGGGCGGGGAGCCGCTCCTGGCGCGCAGCTGCACCCTGGGCTGCCTCCCGCCACCCCTGGGGGCAGGGCCCGGCAGACACTGACCTCTGGGCCCAGGTCTGAATTCTCTGCAGACACAAACGCCCACTGTCGGTCAGGAGAGCAGAGGAGACTCACAGCGACGCTGGCAGCCACGGGCACTTTGGAGACCTCGTGCAGCTGAGGCACCGTCAGCGTGTGAAGGTTCCCGCCGGCGCAGGCCGCCTGCGGCAGACACAAACGATGCAAAACCACAGCGCGAGAGGCGCCGGCCCCCAGGCAGAGGAAGCACCGTCGCCTTTTGGAAATAGTACCTGTTTCCTCACCTGGCGGGTGGAGACGCCGGCTGCTGAAGTGCCTCCCTCACAGGGTGCACGTGCCTGTTACTTCTGTGTCTTAGAACAGCTTTTCAAACACACAGGCAACAATGAACACGCTCAAACAACGTGTAAGTCTTTAGAGCAAAGGTCTAGTGTGTAATCCTGGGGCCCCTTCTGTCCCCTGATGGCAGTGCTGTTCTGCAACCTGCCTTTTGTTTTATATTTTTAAAACTCCTTCGAAATCTTTCCACATCAGTGGACACTTCCCATCAATTTTGTACTTCCTCTCACACTGATGGAAATTTAAGTTCTTTACAAACTGTGTTACTACGAACACCAACTGCTGCGATGAGCACACTCCTACACGCCACCCTGTGCACAGATGCCAGTATTTCTTCACGGGAAATCCCTAAAACTGGAATGATCAGGCCTAAGAGTATGCATATTTAATGTTTAAAAGAAAAGAACCAACCAAGCTTTCAAAAAAGCCTCAAACTATACTCCTATTCACCATGTATAAAAATACCTATTTTTCTTCATCCAACTTACTACAATATTAATCTTTAAAAATGTTTGCTCCTCTGGTAGGTGCAAAGTCTTATTTTAATATCACTCTCTTGATGACTAGTCAGGTTTTACACCTTCACATATTACTGGCTATTTGTACTTTATTCTGCAAATTCACTACTCATTTCTTTACCTATTTTCTACTAGATTTCTGCTCTTTATATGAGCTGATATAATTCTTCATTAAATAAGATATTGTTAGCTCATAATTTTTCATGTCTCTTTATTTTATAATCCCATCCTTCTATGTTTTGGGTGTTTTTAATTTTTTAAGTAAATCAAATCTGTGTATCTTTTGATTCTGGGTTCTGTCTTATTTAGCAAGGCCTTGCACATCCCAGATTGATTTTTAAAGCCACATATATATTCTTCAGATCATTTTATAACTTTGCCTTTCACATTCAGTTTCTTAGTTACACTAAATTTATTTGTATAAAAAGAGTGAGGTGAGGCCAGGTACAGTGGTTCACGCCTGTAATCTAGCACTTTGGTAGGCCAAAGAGGGAGGATCCCTTGAGGTCAAGAATTCGAGACCTGACTGAACGACACAGACCCTGTCACTACAGAAAATTTAAAAATTAGCCAGGCATGGTGGTGTGCGCCTGTAGTCCCAGCTACTCAGGAGGCTGAGACAGGAGGATCGTTTGAGCCCAGGAATTTGAAATTGCAGTGAGCTATGATGCTGCTGCTGCACTCCACCCCTGGACAGAGTGAGACCCTGTCTCAAAATAAATAAGTAAAGCTAACAAATGAAATACTACAAGCCTAATTTAAAAAGGAAGAAGGAGATTAAGGGTACTACAAAAAAGTATTAAGATAAAGGTAACCACTACAACAAAAATACAAGGTCTTTCTAAATAACAAAAGGTATCACCAGTCCCCAGAGCATATACACACAAAAGGGAAGAAAACAGACACAGAGAAAGGAACCCAGTAACAAGCCACACACAGTAAACGTAACATAAAATAAAATGCAAGGTTGAGATTAAACACATACGTATTATCAACCAACATAAATGACTTAATTCACTTATAAAGTAAGCCATTTAACAACAACAACAAAATTTTCAGGTTAACAACAACAAAAAATCCCCACAACTCTAATGCTATATATTCAAGAGACCCATTCAAAACAGAAAGGCCAAACAGGAAGGAAGGGGTAAAGTTGCATCTGACAAATGCAAACCATTAGAAAGCAGATTTCTGGTGATCCTGGTAGCAGAAAGTTAGGCCCAAAGGATGAAATGAAACCAAAGAGACACTTTACCATGTTTAAGGCCATAATTCACAATGAAGAAATAATAGTTATGAACACTTATGAATCAGAGAAACACCTCAATCACCTTTAAAAAAAAAAAAACCAGAAAAAAGCAGAGTGAAATAAATCAATAATGAATATTTAAATACTTATAACTAATTATCATTATTAAATAAAAATAAATAAAAATGATAATGATAATAATACTGTTCTCAGTCTAGGACAGGTCAAAAGGCAAATAGGCTGGGTGCGGTGGCTCACACCTGTAATCCTAGCACTCTGGGAGGCTGAGGCAGGCGGATTGCTTGAGGTCAGGAGTTCGAAACCAGCCTGAGCAAGAGCGAGACCCCATCTCTACTATAAATAGAAAAAAATTAATTGGCCAACTAATATATACAGAAAAAATTAGCTGGGCATGGTGGCGCATGCCTGTAGTCCCAGCTACTCGGGAGGCTGAGGCAGAAGGATTGCTTGAGCCCAGGAGTTTGAGGTTGCTGTGAGCTAGGCTGATACTACAGCACTCACTCTAGCCAGAGCAACAAAGCGAGACTCTGTCTCAAAAAAAAAAAAGGCAAATAAATGTAAGACCTAAACAATATAATGAATAATGACTATAGTTGGACGTTTGTACCCCAATAACAGAAAATACACCTTCCTTGCAAGCGCACATGGGGTAGTCACAAAATTGAATGTCTAGTCCAGTTACAAAGAAACCTCAATAAGTTCTAAGGTAGAGGAATACGAGCAACATTCTTTGATCATGATGACATAAAACTAGAACTCAGTGACTATTAACAAAATAGAAAAGGCATTAGCTAGTCACAGAAAAAATGGGAGAATGTACATATACACAAAAAATGACATGGGGGAAACAGGCACTGAAATGGAAAATTTAAAGAAAAAAATCTCAAGAGAATATTTTAGACACTGGTATGCCTAAAAAATCAACAATTGAGACATATTGGATAATTTCCTAGGAAAATACAATATATCAAAACTGATAGCAGTGGAGACAAAAGCTTAAGCAGACCACCCAATTTCCATAGAAGACAAAGAGAAAACTGTTTAAAAACTACCCCCCCCCAAAAAAACATTCAGTACCAGATGATCTGAAAGATGAATTCTATCAAACTTAGAAAAACCAAATAATCTCACTGCAACTGAGAGTGTTCCAGAGCATTAAAGAGAGAGAGAGAGGGAGGGGAGGAGGGAGGGAGGAGGAGGAAGGGGAGGGGAGGAGGAGGAAAGAAGAAGGAGGAAGAAGGAAGGAGGACGAGGAGGAGGAGGGAGGGGGGAGGAGGGAGGAGGAGGGAAAGAGAAAAGAAGAAAGAAAGAAAGAAAGAAAGAAGAAAGAAAGAAAGAAGAAGAAAGAGAAGAAGAAGAAGAAAGAAGAAAGAAAAGAAAGAAGAAAGAAAGAAAAATGATCAGATCCCTTTTATGAATAAGTAAAGCATTTATATGCAAACATGATAAAGCACAAAAACAAAAAACTACAGACTAATCTCACTTATACAGATCCACAATCCTAATAAAATACCAACATTCAGAATGCATCATTATTTACAAGAAATGCATGGATAATTTAATAGTTTAAAAATCCAATAATTCGCCCTAACAATAGATCTATGGAGACAAATCCTGTAATCATATCTCCATGCTCTTTTGGGTAGATGCCTAATAAAGACATCTGCACCCGAATGTTTATGGCTGCACAATTCACGATTGCAAGGATGTGGAAACAAATCAAGTGCCTGTCAATTCATGAGTGGATTATTAAAATTTGCTATATATTTACAATGGAATATTATAAGAAATAACAGTGATCTAGCACCTGTTATATTTTCCCGGATAGACCTTGAGCTCATTATCCGAAGTGTCATAACACAAGATAGGAAGAACAGGTTCCACATGTACTCGCCATCAAATTGGTACTGACTGATTAACACTATGGTGCTCACATGGTAGTAATATTCTCCAGGGATGGGGGTTGGGGGGTAAATTCACGACTATAAGACACAGTGTGTGTGTGGGGGAAGGGCATGTCTCTAACCCCCGCTAGGGAGAGGCAATGATATCAAATGTAACTAAAATGTTTGTACCCTCATAATATCCTTCATAATATCCTGAAATTAAAAAAAAAAAATTATATCTCCATGCTAAAAAAGCCCTTGACAAAATTCAACACCTAATCCTGATTTTTAAAAACTAATAATAAAATAGGCAATGATGGATAGTTCATGAACATCATTCCTGAAGCCAGCATACCTCCATAATGGGAAAGCACTAAAGGCAACTCTACCAAGGTCAGCAATAAGGAAAAAGGCCACTAATGCCACCAGTGGGCAGTGTCGGATTGGAGGTTTTAGCCAGTGTGATCAGCAAAGAAAACAGTGGAATGCCAAGACTTAGAAAAAATAAACTATCTGCACCTATGGATAATAAAGTATTTACCTGAAAAACCTGAGGAGCAATGATACAATAACAAAAAATTCAATAAGAACACAGGATATAAAATTTACATCAATAGCCTTCATTTAACAAACAATACTCAAAAAATATGATGGAACAGAAAATACTCTTACATAGCAATAGAATAGCAACAAATGATAAAATATTTTGGAGTAAATTTAACAACAAGAAATGTGCCTGTGCAAAACTTATCTGAGATAAACTTTAAAACATTTCTGAAGAACATAAAAGCACACTTGAACCATTGGAAATACATCATTTATTCTTGGACAGATTGACTCAATATCATAACCATGTCCATCCTCTCTGTGTTAATATTTAAGTTGAGGCCGGGAGCAGTGGCTCATGCCTGTAATCCTAGCACTCTGGGAGACCAAGACAGGTGGATCGCTCCTCAAGGTCAAGAGTCTGAAACCAGCCTGAGCAAGGGCGAGACCCTGTCTCCACTAAAAGTAGAAAGACATTAATTGGCCAACTCAAAATATATAGAAAAAAAATTAGCTGGGCATGGTGGCGCATGCCTGTGGCAGAAGACTGAGGCAGGAGGATCGCTTGAGCCCAGGGGTTTGAGGTTGCTGTGAGCTAGGTTGACGCCACGGCACTCTAGCCCA